AACACTCGACCCGCAGATTGCGAGTCGAGCGCCCTAACCACCTGGCCATGCCAGGCCTGTTAGACCAAGTAGTGGGATTCGATTATCACTCCTGTAAAGTGAGGATCGCTCTTTTTTTTTTCGGTAACAGTGTGCAAAACAAGGAATCTCAGATCCACAGTGTGTCTCACATTAACCATTGGGTAAAAACAGTAAAATAAACGAATATTAACTGCATCAAAATGTTTCTATTGTTATGTTTGGGGTTACCAATACAACCCAATGTTAACAAATATCAGTGATAATCAACCAATCACAAAAAAAATCAGTGCATAAATAAAACATAGCTTTTGTTATTGTAACTTAATTATATTTGTGAAGTTCTAGTTTCAGCTACGTAAACAAAATATTATCTAAAACATTGTAAATGTACAAGAAAATTTTGTGAACCTCGAGATTACAAATAAAAGCCAAGAGTTTGAAACAAATTCGCCAATGAATGTTCTTGGATCAACACTTGGAAGAGGGTGGTCAGCTACCAACTTGGATCAACACTTGGAAGAGGGCTGTCGGCTTTTAACTTCGATCAACACTTGGAAGAGAGCTGTCGGCTTCCAACTTGGATCAACACTTGGAAGAGAGCTGTCGGCTTCCAACTTCGATCAACACTTGGAAGAGAGCTGTCGGCTTCCAACTTCGATCAACACTTGGAAGAGAGCTGTCGGCTTCCAACTTCGATCAACACTTGGAAGAGGGTGGTCAGCTACCAACTTGGATCAACATTTGGAAGAGAGTGATCAGATATTAATTTAGATCAACACTTGGAAGAGAGCTGTCAGCTTCCAACTTGAATCAACACTTGGAAAAGGGTGGTCAGCTTCCAACTTGGATGAACACTTGGAAGAGGGTGGTCGGCTTATAACTTGGATCAACACTTGGAAGAGGGTGGTTGGCTACCAACTTGGATCAATACTTCGAAGAGGGTGGTCGGCTTCCAACTTAGATCAACACTTGGTATCTGACCACCCTCTTCCAGTTTAGACCAACACTTGGAAGAGGGTGGTCAGCTACCAAATGAGGCAATTCTCTCGTTTCAAATTTTTCGGAGCAAAAGTTTAGGTTTTTAATATTTTTTTTTATTTTCACTAAAAAATAATTAGTTTTCCTGGGATTTCTTTTCTTAACATCGAAATGTATTTTTTTATACCTTAAATAATAAATAATTACGTATCTATTCCGAGTGTAGCTTCTCTGAATTTAGTCGTCGAATTCTAACTGTACTCGTACCTGTCGAATATTATACAGATATAATAACCTTTTCCAGATCTTATATAAGATGTTGAACAATACATTAGAATTGTTCAAAAAATTCAAAAACAAATTACGTGTTGTTCTTTGTACAAATCCTCCCAACAAATAAAGATTATCAAGAACATTATTCACACATTTCATAGTTTCAAACCGTTTATCGTCTCTATCATCGGAAACCGAAAAGTATGTTATAACACCACTGCCCGACTCTAATAACTCAAAAATGACGCAAGGGGCCGCTGTTTAAACCACGCTAGAATGGTGCAAGGTCATTTTACTCCGGGAGGGGATTAGCCCCCTGAACTCACTGGGAGCATTACGCTGTCCCCCAGACTCTTTACCTTAACTGAATTAGACTCGTATCTTGGTGATAATAATGATAACTGTTCTTGGCTTGACAGTACCAACTGGAACCACGTGACTAAGTTTGATCCTGGGAACGGAAACCTTAGAAGGAATCGGGAGGAAAAGTCCTTGATTTTTTGATGGGTGACGGTGGGGAGAAAAACAGGTTGTGTATGGTAATTGAACACCTGGTAGAGGTTGAGATTGAGAACTGTCATCAATGGGAGCCAGTTTAAAAACAACAACAACACTTTACATGTTGTTAATCGCACTGAAATATGGGGAACATCTGTGGTGTATCAATATGCAGCTTACTGGATGTATAAAGGAGCACATTATTTTGTATTTGTAAGAATACATATAAACACATGCATACACAACAAAATATTAGTAACGAACTAACCATTAGCAATGTGAATTATCACTAAAGGGGCACACGTACAGACTGAAATGTTGGAAGAATAACAAACATTCTGCTTTTGATACTAAATTAATTCAATCAACAACAAGATGGACGTATTTAACTGCTTTACTTACAAATTACAATATGCATTATTACAAATCAAAAATTAACAGTGCAGACATACAAAGATACCTTGGAGTTGATGAAGCTGTGACTGCCTTCAGCAGCTGAGGCACCGGCTACAGATCGAAGTGCTGGAAGTGTGGTTTTAACGTCACTTTCATGTTCTTTTGGTCTAATGAAACAGAGTAAACAATCATTTTGAAACATTCCATGTATGTTGGAAGTGTGGTTTTAACGTCACTTTCATGTTCTTTTGGTCTAATGAAACAGAGTAAACAATCATTTTGAAACATTCCATGTATGTTGGAAGTGTGGTTTTAACGTCACTTTCATGTTCTTTTGGTCTAATGAAATAGAGTAAACAATCATTTTTAAACATTCTATATATATGCTGGAAGTGTGGTTTTAACGTCACTTTCATGTTTTTTTGGTCTAATGAAACAGAGTAAACAATCATTTTTAAACATTCTACATGTGATGAATGTAAACGTCATTTAGTTTACACAGAATAAAAAAAATGTATAATATAATAAATAAGTCATTAAGTAACTTTAAAGACGCTGTTTATTCGCTCACTAATACTTGATACAACATAACTGCTGACGAAGCGGAAATTTTTAGCTCTTCTATACAACTTTTATAGCTTATAATAACAAAATAGTTAAAATTCTATGTTACATACTTATTTACTTTTCATTTCACGTACTTGAAAACAAAAAATAAAATATTGAAAAAAATACTTTTATCACCATGTATATTTGTTTAAAATAATCAAAACGTAGTAATAGCAGATACTACAGAATCAGCGAATGAAATTTAAGAGTTCGATTTCAGAAGAAGAAGTACCAAGAAAAAAAATATATATATACTTTATGACAACTAGCATAATATATCCGAGCTCCGCTGCGGGGTTTAATTAAAGGACCCTTCATGATTTACTTCCATTATCCCCATTACTGAGCACGTGCACCAAGACTGAACCGAGTAACTGGTGAGTGTGGTTATGAACGTAAGTTTGAAACATGACGCTCTCGGGATATCAGGGTTGGGGGCAGGAATACAAATTCTGATGCCAATTTGGGCTCAGAGACCCTGAAACTTAATTCTAGATCCCCATCATGCCTGATTGATCTTCCGGGTGCGTTTTACCCCCACCCCCTTTATAGGGAGCTACAGATAAGGAGATCCTCCGCACACCCAGCCTGCATGCAAAGTTCAGTCCTACTAGTTTCAAAATTGTGAGAGTCACGGACAAACAAATTTATACACAATATGATATATATATGTGTGTATGTATGTGTATGATTCGCCAGACTATCCAAAGATCCAGGTAAAATAACCAACACCTGTAGCACTTGGAATTTACTCACCTCAAGTCGACCAGTGGTACACTACTAAGCACAGAGCGTCTGGAGACTGACTTAGGAGTGGAAGAGGATGCATTATCACCCTCTAAAGGATTAACCTCCAGCATTTAGAATTCTGTAATAAAACATAACGGCAACTATTATACAACCACACAGAAACCATTAGCAATAAATTTACATATTTTACATTAACGAGTATGTGATAACACTTCTTCTGTTTAATACGATTTTAAATCCCTAAAAGATCGGGCCATGAGTGCCAGAGTATACAGGTGTTATAAATGACAGTTTTAAATTAAATTGTTCGTGTTTGTAAGTGAAAACAATTTGTTTCATATTTCAGAGTTAGTCACTATATACATACGTAATAAATATTTAATACTTATAATTGGTCTTGCAATGTAAAATCATATGTGTCAATTTCACATACACCACATTACAGCATCTGAATTAAAAATCATGTCGTTCGAAATATCTGAACGATTTGGGTTGGTTGGTTTTGAATTTCGCGCAAAGCTGCACGAGGGCTATCTGCGCTAGCCGTCCCTAATTTAGCAGTGAAAGACTAGAGGGAAGGCAGCTGGTCATCACCACCCACTGCGAACTCTTGGGTTACTCTTTTACCAACGAATAGTGGGATTGACCGACACTTTATGACGCCTCCACGGCTGAAAGGCGAACCTGTTTGGTGGGACGGGGATTCGAACCCGTGACCCTCAGATTGTGATTCAAGCACCCTAACCACCTGGCCATGCCGGGTCTAACTGAACGAAGAGAACGTATTAAAATCAGAGAAGCGTAAGATCTTCAGAAGATATATTAATTGAGTAAATAAAAAAAAGAGCGTCAAATGCCTGTAAAAATTGTCCTCATTACTCTGTTCGACTAAGATCAAAATGACTTTCAGCTATCAATAGAGAAATAAGTTATATTTCTAAGAACATTACATCTTCGATAGATATTCATTACAAACGTCAATCACGTAGCAGAGTATCTGAGTCATTTACTACAAACGTCAATCACGTAGCAGAGTATCTGAGTCATTTACTACAAACGTCAATCACGTAGCAGAGTATCTGAGTCATTTACCTATCTACGTTGCAAAAGTTGAAATCAAAAGCATATATTTTTTTTTTACTTACAGAAACCACAAGAAAATACAATCTACAACATTCGACCCGACCTGATTGAGAGCAACTACATATAAATACAGACGATTTTTAAAAACAATGTAACATCCTAAGAAGCCACGAGTGAATGCAAAGAAGAGTATATGACAACCAGCATCACCATATTTTACTACCACCAAATAATTATGTTCTCAAAACACAACATTTCCTAGCACAGTGAGCGACTTTATTCTCAAAAATTAAAACAGTGACGTAGGTACTAATAATTATGTTCGTCTGATTCTTCGAAACGAAAAACAAACAGACACGAACACACACACAAAATTAAAATCTGGTGGTATGCCAGTTCTATTATTACAACCAAACGCCACACAGTAAATAAACCTTTTGCGAAATACAGCAAGGCAACTTCGTTTGACAAAATAAAAGTAGAAATCATACTGACAACAGAAACAATCATACCACGCACTAATCAGTTATACCGCCGTTTGGTGTCTGACACCTCTGACGTCACGCATTCTCGGCTTACAGAAAAGCATATTCCGCACATTTCAGCGTGTGAAAGGCGTGTCGCATAATACCAAAAACAAAACCTTTGAAATTAATTTAATATATTTTTTTTTCAACGATGTATTAATTAGAATGAGCACCGACACACACATCTATGTATAATTTCACAAAATTGAAATAGTTGTTTTAATGTTCTTTAACGTGAAGAAGTTGGAAATGTCTGAAAGCAATTTGCAAGACAACCAAAAGTAGCAAGATAAGAGCTACCGAAGACGTCACAGGATATGAAATGCGTGTAGTTCATTGTCTTGGTTAATAGCATTTCGAGTTTACTGATAGGTTAATACGAATTATTCAATAATAATAATAAAAAAATTATACTTTTATATAAGAATTATCCGGAAGGCTTGCCCGACCTTCAAGGTCGAAAAGCTACTACTGATCAAACCGAAGATATACTGAATTCGGGTAAGACAGGGGTAAACATTTCCGTTGAAAGACACGACTTTTATTCTGTATTTTAATAAGGCACGTATATTTAAAGCAGTTACAGGCTTACATTGTTTCCATACTAATTCTTTTAAACCCATTATAATTCCAGACACGAAAATATAGAACCCATCGTCAGTCCACATACATACACTATTTCTTTGAAAGAAAAGATCGTGCGACTAAAAAAAAAACATGTATTCAATATCAAGTTTTCGCATATATTTGATACATTAACGTGATTTTTTGAGCGAACGTATACGTATACGTTTAACTGCATTCTTGTTTCACGTAACTCCCACAAATAACACGAATCGCTCCAAAATGTCATTTAAATATGGTCGTTATTTTTCGTTTATAAGTTAGTTTATTTCGTGTCTTAAGTAACTTTGTAGAAGTTTGATGAAGTACGTCCGCTGCAGTAAGAACTAAATAATCTCTGTAACAGATAACAAGATCGATAACTCTCTTCACCCATCCAAACAAACCCATACGTCCTAATTTAGCAGTGTAAGACTAGACGGAAGGCAGCTAAACATCACCACCCACCGCCAACTCTTGGGCTACTCTTTGACCAACGAATAGTGGGATTGACCGTCACATTATAACGCCCCCGCGGCTGAAAAGGCGAGCATGTTTGGTGTGACGGGGATTCGAACCCGCGAACCTCAGATTGCGAGTCGAGCGCTCTAACCACCTGGCCATAGTGATGTTCAAGTCTGAGTGATTTCAAACTAATATTCAAATAACTTACCTATTTTATTTTTTATTGTCTGTTGACATATATTTGATATAAGAGATACTGATTGCCGTAATTTTCAAACAATCTATTACAAAGTTATTTAAAAGAATTATAACCTAAGACTGAAGAACTTTTTGTTTGTGAACGCTTAAGATTGGACGGAAATACCTAATACAAAAATACAATATACACTGCCAAAATACATTCTCCATTCCTTGTCTATTTATTTAATTGTTCAACTTGTGAAAATTGATAAGCCAGAATCACACGACAATTGAAAAGGCGGTATTTGGAACACACACACACACACAAAGCCGAACCACAGATTGCATGTCTACCATGCCGAACATAGCGAAATATTTTGTCGACACTGAATATATCATATACAGTGTAGTTGACATATTATTACATATATTCTTCTGGTCTCACTCATTAGTTCTTAGAATGTAAATCTCATTTTCGAATGGCACATTTCCAAATTCTTTATAGAACTGTCATTGAACGAAACTGATAATAATAAGGCTTAACAATGAGCTTGAAGAAATAAAAAGTGCTGTATACATTCACCGAAGGATGCTTTTAGTTGTGCAAACTCGTAAAATTCACGTCAACGTTACTAACTGGTAAGTTTTACTTAAACGCTTAATACTGTGTAATACATATACATACATAGTCGATAAAACAGGGCAGAAAGTCATAATCAAACGTACAATACACATTGTTAAGTTTGTTTTTCAAATATATAGAATTTCTGATAAGAAACAGTATATTTTTAAGAGCCAAAGTAGCTTTTCTTCCCACATAAAAAATAAAAGCTGAGAGTGGAATAGAAAGATCGTTATCTAATAAAAAAAGGTTCTTAAAGCTTAACTACCTGGAACTTAAGCCTATATTTTACCATTACGCTTGTTACTTGGCAAGATCAAAACCAATCATATTTCTTACACTTATAAACCCTACTTGAAAAGCCAGTTAATGGTCTGAAAGTAGGTAATCTTTTTTTATATATATATATACACAGTGATGTTATACCTTAGGAGCAATTTTTGCGGTAAGGCCTTCGATAAGAAACTAAAATTTAATTCAGTGATTTAAAGCATTAAAACAGCGAATCAATTCCGCTGCTTAAGTATAGCCTTAACAACATATACCCATAATGTTAAGTATATCGAATCAATTCCGCTGCTTAAGTATAGCCTTAACAACATATACCCATAATGTTAAGTATATCGAATCAATTCCGCTGCTTAAGTATAGCCTTAACAACATATACCCATAATGTTAAGTATATCGAGTCTATTCTGAACGTTAAACACAGAAGTTAAAACTTTAATATTAATATTACTTTTATAAACGTTAAATGTCTCGAAATATTTTTCGTTGCCTTGTAAGCATTTGGTATACAACAATTATTGTCTTTTTCAATCTCCTTCTGTTGAAGTTCACCTGTTTCGGCATATATTAAAATGTTCCGTTAGTTGTAAATGAAGAATTTGTATCTTTTGCATTTTTGGCTACGGAATGATGACTTCAAAATTCGTCACCAATTCCTTCAGTCAATTTCCATACTCATACGGCATTCGAGTGGCGCGTTCTGGCAGAAGAAAGATAATTAATGTTAATCAAGACAACCTCCTGCATGAAAAATTACTATTCACGGTCATTATCAATCTAAACGATCACTGTGGAGCTTAAGCCTGTGTTACTTAATGGGTTCTCAGAAATTCTTATAAATCTTAACGCTCACCATTAGAAAATTTGGACGATGGGTTTTAAACCTGCGTGGGTAGCAGCTTCCTAATGTATTTCGAACATCACAGGCATCCATTTGTCGTAAATCGTCAACAAATGTTTGTTAGCATACGAATAAAATGCCATATTTAGAGGAAGACTTAGCACTTGAATCCTGCTATGTAAAGCCTGCAGCATCACATACAATAAACTGTCTTTGGGGGGTAAAAAAAAAGAGTTTAAATTGCATAATGTAGATTAGTATACAATATATCAACACCTAAAATAATTTCACTGGTGAATTATAGGCATGATCTTAAGAAAACCCATTGTGCACTTTTTTTTAGTAATTTACACATTAAAAATACACACACACAACAGAGTAAAAACTAACTGAAGTTTTACTCAGTGCAAAGCGTGCTATTTTTTCTGGTCAAGCACCATACAAGTTTTTAATTTATGTGTAGTTTTTCTGTTACATTTATGAGTGTATAGCAAGACTGAGTCAAGGGG